CGCTACAAAAGGCAAAGAAGTCACTTTACATATTAAGGTGTGCCTGATTCCTGATATTTTCCATTTCCTGATATATATGTGAAAACTTGGTGATGGCAGGACAGGATAGAAGAATTCATGCAATTGGAGATGAAATGTTGGAATCACCACAGACTGCACACACAAAAAAGGAACAAATCTGTCTTGGAGGATGTACTGCCAATATCCTCCTTAAAGCACAATGGGAGGCTTTGGACTTGAAATCAGGAGGGAACATTCCCTGAAGAAGAACAGCGTTTTTGGTAGAGAGTCAGAGAGGAGGGAAACCTTGAAGGAGACAAAGGGCACAGTTGGTGCAACAAGGGGCTCCAACGGTGTGGTAACGGTGAGTAAACGGGGTAGGGCTCTGTTCTGCTGTCCAGAGTGAGTACGACTTGCAATTGACCCAACAGCACCTAACAATAAACAACACGTACAGATTTCACAAAATGTGCCTTTCCTATATTTGGGTATAATAGTCGTTGGTTGTTTATTAATAATAAGATAATTTTTTATTTTCTCTTATTTTATTATCTTCAGAGACAAAAGGTTTTTTAAATTTTTACTATTTCTATTACCTATCTTGTGTAAGGCAAAATGTGTCTTTTAAAAACTAATTGTGTATTTTTGGTTTAATAGATTAGAAATACAATATGTTTTTACATTTTAATCCTATTTCCAGGAGATATTCTAAATGGGTTTCTAAGTTGTAATTTTCTCTAAATTATTTTTGTTTTTAATTCTGTATACAATCATTTCATCTATCAATAATAGTTTTATTTTTTCCACCTTTATGTATATTTGTCATTTGTTAAATGTTTCCTTTCTTTATACTCATGGGAGAAAGACTGGCTTTCTCCTCACGGAAACAGTTCCAGTCTCAGAAAGCCACTGGGGGTCGCTATAACTCAGCATTGACTCAATGGCAGCAAGTTTTTTTCCTTACACTGGCTAGTACACCCAGGAAAATGATAACCAAAATGATAGCGGGCATTCATGTCTTTTACTGATCTCGGTAAGAAAAGCTTTTAATATTCAAACTTTATATATATATAATGCTTTCCCTAAAGACATTTGAATGCCTCTGTAATCTCCCATGCTTGCTAAATAAAGGTCAGAGAAAAAGAGGCAGACCTTCAACGTGATGGCTTGATAGAAGGGCTTCAACAAAGGGCTCAAACCTTAACAACAATTGTGAAAATGGCACAGGACAGGGCAATGGTTTGTTCTGTTGTACGGAGGGATGCTATGAGGTGGAACCAATTTGAGAATATCTGACAATACAATCCACCATTCATTGTTATCTTTCATCCTAAATTGCTTCATACATACAAACATGAAAGGATTATACAATACACAATATCAAATACATCTAAAAATTATAAGTAGTTGAAAATAATCTTAACATACTGAAATGATTTTAAATGATCAAAAATGTTAATGCTTAATTACATGTGATTCAACTCCCTCATTTACGGTTGACCGTATTTTCTCTGGAACTGTAATTTGTACATGGAGTTTTTCAGCATCTGCAAGGTGCAAAATGGTTTATTAGAGCAACATCCATCACCTCATAACTTCATTCCTCAATTTCCCTTTCTAAAGCTAAAATCGGTGTTCTATATCTAGAGTCACATTTAAAACCATGTTTAAGTTCTTTATAAAATGATCAAAGTTTTCAATGGAAATGAAAATACTGGTTTGGGGCAGGTTCAGGACAGTCGGGGTGAACGACCAGTCCCAGGACCCTGTGTACAAATGGGCTGTCGATCCTCCAAACTCAGAGCCTGGAAGTTGATTCAGACTTTGACACTATGGTACATACAAAGGATGATCTCAAACTTCAGCTCTGAGGCTTTTACTTTTACTGGTACAAGTTGGGGGCGCACTCCAATGTGTGTGTTGTTGTTTGTTTGGGGAAGGCGCATGATGGGGTTGAACCTAACCTTGGGGGTCAAGAGCTGCAAAGATGCTTTCCCAAAGCACAGGGGAGCGCTTTTTGCACTTACCATAGGTAGACCCTGTCCGCAGCCCACTGAGTCCAAAGAACAGAAGGAACAGGTTCAACATGCTCTCACTCGATTTCTGCCTGAGTAATGGCCGTTGATTTGACGAGAGAGCAGCAGTTAGTCGCGCGACGAGATGGCCGGGCAGCACCTCACAGAAACAGGCCACTGGGAGAGAAGGGTGGGCTGGGAGGGTGGGTGGTGGATCCAGAGAGTGGTTCCTTATAACCAGGTCCCCTTGCAGGAAGAGGTTTCCGCCATTTGCAGTAGCTTGCTAAAGAGAGCCAGATTGAACCGGAACTACTTACCAGGGCAGGCTAGGAGAAACAGTTAATGAGCAAGGAGATGCATACGCACACTTTAAATTATGTTTCAGTGTAACATAGATTTATAGTGAAAAGCATAAACTCAAAGCATAATTAATATTCAAGCGAACAGATCAATATAGTCAACACCGACTGAGAAAGTTTTTTTCTTTTCTTTTTTTAAAAGAAACTTAAATCACCTAAATTGACCTCTGACAATCTTTGCCTCTGAAATCAAGACTGGTGTTGCCTGTTTTTGAATGTTATATAAAAGGAATCGTTTATCTTTCCAGTTTACTGCTGATGAGCATTTTAGTCATCATTTGGGTTATATAAACAGTTTATAAATAGTCTAGTTTTGTTTTGTTTGTAAACAGCTATATACAAAGCCAAAGCAAACACCAGGGACCTAACAAGAGAGTTTCTGAAACTGGACGTCATTACTGGAGCAGACAGCATGCCGTGCAGGGAGTGGCTGGCGGATTTGTCAAACCCCTGCAGTCAAACCCCTAACCCATAAGGACCCAAGAGGGCTTTAGAAAGTTCGTGGAAATTTTACATGATCACTTAATCCCATTTTCCACGAGCTTTCTGAAGCCCCCTTGGTATAATAGTTAATGATATTTAGACAATTTTGTATGTTTATTCCTCACTTATATAGGTGTATTTGTTTGTTTTGTTTTGTCTTTTTGGCAATTGCCTATTTGAGACTTAGGTCCATTTATCTCTCAATTGGATTATTTTGCATTGTTTTATGACAAGGAAAATCTAGTAAGGAATTTTAGTTATGATTCTTTGTTTGAAAATAAAAACTGAAATATATTTTTGTACTGAAGCTTGACTTCACTCTTTCAACCCAATCTTTTATCATTATTTACATTATTTTATAGAACTTCATTAAGTTATCATTTACACTCAATTAAATGCACACATTCTTAAGTGTAAATCTGACTAAATTTTACAACAAATAGATCAAGATAGAGAAATTTCCTGGTATCTAGCCATCAACAGTCTCACAAGTCTGACTTGTATCACCATGCCTTCATATTGCCTGCACCTGAGTTTTATATCAATGAACTTATGTGGCATACACACTCTTATGTCTGACTTCCTTTAGAAAGCACACAATCTGTGATTCGTAAACACTAAGTCATAGGCTAAGTTTAGTAAAAGTTTTCATAGGGATGCCAAATAATTTTCCAAAGTGGTTCTGCTTTTCCAATCCCTACCAAAATTGTATTTGCTCCATATTATCACACCAACACCAATACTGTATTTTTTTTTCATTTTCGTCTTTTTATAGAATGTATAATGAATATCCGGTGAAGTTCTACATTTTAATTGTCTGAAAATGCTGGTTGCACAGTGGTTAAACTTTCAGCTATAGCCTAAAGGAACCCCC